AAAGGCGGGAGCGCGCTGGCCCCGCCCCTTCCCGCCCCGCCCGTGCGGGAAAGGGCGGGGCTTACGGCGCGTGGCGCCGTATTGACCAATCACAGCGCTCCATCCTCACCCAGCCCCCCTCTGACGCGCCGCGCTGCGTTCTGATTGGTCAGAGTGTGCGTCAATCAGGGGGGCTCGGTACCCGCAGGCGGAAGCGTCTCGCCCAGGAGCGGGTACGTGCGGCCGCGCCGGGCCGGGCGGCACCGGCACCGGGGCTGAGGCTGGAGCGGGACCGGGACCGGGATGGGGAGTGGGGATGGGGACTGGGACAGGGAGAGGGGCAGCGAGACAGGGACCAGCACCGCGAGGGACCCCCGGGCCGCTCCCCTGGGACACCGGCACGTCCCGGTGTGTCACGGATTGCCCGGCCCTGAGGACGCACCGCCGGTGCTCCGCGGAGAGCTGGGCTCTGTAGGTGGAGTTAAAGAGAAAAAATATCTTACTTTGTCTAAAGAGCAGTTGATTGGGGCCGTGGGGTCGCGGCTCGTCCTGCCCGGATTCCATCGCAGGCTCAGCGATGCCCTTGCTGCGGGCTCGAGTCACAGCCGGCCTCGGGAGAATTGCGAAATCCAGAATTTTTGTTTCCTTCTCTGCCTCCTCAAGTCTTCAAACTTTAATAGCGCTCTTAAAGAGCCCCCGCTGCAGGCAGTTTTGGGGATAAGTCATGGATTGGGTTGGAAGGGACCTTAAATCCCACCCAGTGCCACCCCTGCCATGGCAGGGGTGGCTCTGGGGGGGATTTGGGGTCTCTCCCAGCCCAAACCATTCCATGATTCCCTGTTTGCCTGCAGCCACTCCCAGCAAGGCCCCTCAGCTCCATAGTGGGGACAGCAACAGGAACCAGTGTGGGTGGATGAGGAACTGGGAGGGGAAAGCAGGAATTGCTGCGGGAGAGGGACAGACACAGCTCTGGTCTGAAAAGGAGCAAAGAAGGTGGAGCCATTTCAGAGTCGAAAATAAGGAAGGGCTTTAGGAGCAGTTGTAATTCAGCCCAGGGAGCTGGGAAGGGGCTGAGGGAGCTGGGAAAGGGGCTGAGGCTGGAGAAAAGGAGGCTCAGGGGGGACCTTGTGGCTCTGCACAAGTCCCTGGCAGGAGGGGCAGGGAGGGGGGGTCGGGCTGTGCTCCAGGGAACAGGGACAGGAGGAGAGGGAACGGCCTCAGGCTGGGCCAGGGCAGGCTCAGATTAAAAATTAAAAAGAAAATTTCCCAGGAAGAGTGGTCAAGCCTCGGGATGAGGGAGTGTTGAGGAGGTGTCTGGATGTGGCCCTTGGGGACAGGGTTTCGGGTGGTGCTGGTAGGACTGGATGATCTCAAAGGGCTTTTCCCACCCTTCTGATCCTGGAATTCTGTAGGAGCACAGCCCTGTGATTCTGGGATCTGAGCATTGCCAGGGCAGGGTGTCATTGAGGAGAGTAACTGCATGGCTGAGCCCAGATGGTGGACAAATGAAAATAACCTTGGAATTGAGTGATGCATTTTAATATTTGAAGTGGTATCACAAGTGTGGGTTTCTGGAACTGGATTTTGGAGGGCAAACTTTTGGATCTTGTTCACAGGAGGTGATCTGTGTTTGTAGCATAGATAAAATGTTTATTTATTGATTTTTATTCCATTTCTCCTCACTGCTGTTATCAACCAGAAAATGTTCTCCATCAGTCTGTGCTGTCTCATGGTTGTGAAGGACATTTTTGTTAGTCTTCACCAAGTGAATTATGGCAGGTTGGGAAACAGAGAAGTTGACAATACTAAACCAAATTAGAACAGTGCTAAGAGCAGTTGTGAGCCAGTTAATTGACTTTGCTTTCCTCTTCCCATATTTAAAGGTTCCCTGTGACCTTTTCTCTGTGCAGAGGGACTTTCTTTACCCTCAGAATGAGTTGATTTGCTGACTTGGGCTCTTTTTCTCTGTGTTAAAAAAGGCACTAAATCATTTTCTGTTAGATTGGAGACTGGAAATATTAGTATTTAATTGAGACTCCTTGACATGATTTAAAGCCCAAGTTCTGCCATCAGCTTTTGGGTTGTGTGCTGATTCTCTTCTGCAGTTCTGTGTAAGGGAGGTTGTTCTGTGAACACAGCTCAGTACAGCATCAATAGAGTTTATCATGGAGTGGTTTGGGTTGGGAGGGCTTTAAAACAATCTCATTCCTTCCCCTGCCATGAGTGAGGCAAATTCTGTATAAAAACCTGAATTCTCTAAAAACCCCCAGACTGTAACTCAAGAGAGTTGTCCAATATCTCGAGATGTTCCTGGTGGAGAGAGGGAACTTAGTAACTGTGGATGAGGAGAAGGTGGAGGTGCTTAATGCCTTCAGTCTTTATTGGGAAGAGGGTTTGTCCTCAGGACAACTGTGCAGTGATTGTAGATGGTGTCAGGGAGCAGAATGGGCCCCCTGTTATAGAAGAGCAGAGAACTGCTGAGCTGCTTGGGTATTCATCAATGTGTGGGACCAGATGGGATCCACCCCAGGCTGATGAGGGGGCTGGCAGAGCCCCTGTCCATCATTTTCCAGCACTCCTGGCTCACTGGTGAGGTTCCAAATGACTGGAAGGTGGCCAGTGTGACCCCCATGCACAAAAAGGGTGGGAAGGAGGATCCTGGTAATTACAGACCAGTCAGCCTGACCTCAGTACCAGGTAAGATTGCAGAGCAGTTTATACTGAGTGCCATTACACAGAATTTACAGCATGGCCAGGGGGTCAGACCCTGCCAGCATGGGTTTAGGAGGGGAAGGTCGTGTTTGACCAACCTTTTATGACCAGGTGACCCACCTGGTGGATGCAGGAAGGGCTGTGGCTGTGTCTGTCTGGACTCCAGCAAGGCCTTTGGCACTGTCTGCCACAGCATTCCCTGGAAAAGCTGCAGCCCCTGGCTTGGACAGGAGCCCCCTGTGCTGGGTTAGGAACTGGCTGGATGGCCAGGGGGTGGTGGTGAATGGTGCTGCATCCAGCTGGGGACAGTCCCCAGTGGTGTCCCCCCAGTCCCCAGGTGTGTCCCTCTGTCCCCAGTGGTGTCCCCCAGTCCCCAGTGGTGTCCCCCAGGGCTCTGTGCTGGGGCCAGTCCTGTTCAGTATTTTATTGATGACATGGATGAGGGGATTGGGTTTTTGATCAGTAAATTCACAGACACACTGGGCTGGGGTCGTGTGTGGATCTGTTGGAATGTGGGAGGGCTCTGCAGAGGGACCTGGAACGTTTGGATGGATGGGCAGAGCCCAGTGGGATGACATTGATAAGTCCAGGTGCCCAGTCCTGCATTTTGGCCACAATAACCCCTGCAGTGCTCCAGGCTGGGGACAGTGGCCAAAGGGACCTGGGGACATTGATGAACAGCAGGACATGAGCCAGCAGTGTGCCCTGGTGGCCAAAGGCCAATGGCTCCTGGCCTGGATCAGGATTGGTGTGGCCAGCAGGAGCAGGGGGGTCACTGTTCCCTGTACTCAGCCCTGCTGAGGCCACACCTCGAGTGCTGTGCCCAGTTCTGTCCCCTCAGTTTAGGAGGGACATTGAGGGGCTGGGGAGGGGCTGGGAACACAAACCCCGTGAGGAACGGCTGAGGGAGCTGGGGGTGTTCATCCTGGAGAAAAGGAGACTCAGGGGTGGCCTTGTCACTCTCTACAGCTCCTGAAAGGAGGCTGTGCCAGCTGGGCTTGGTCTCCTTCTCCAGGCAGCACTGACACAACCAGAGGACACAGCCCCAAGCTGTGCCAGGGGAGATACAGGTTGGATATTAGGAAAAAGGTTTTTACAGAGAGAAGAATAAAGTATTGGAATGCTTGGAATGGTGGAGTCACCATCCCTGGATGTGTTTAAAAAGAGACTGGATGTGGCACTGGGTGCCATGGTCTGGTTGAGGGGTTCGGGCATGGCTTGGACTTGATGATCTGGGAGGTCTCTTCCAGCCTAGTTGTGCTGTGAAGCTGTGATTTTGTGATTCTGTGATTTTGTGACTCTGTGATGCTGTGACTCTGTGATACTGACATACTGATCTCACCCTTGGCTGTTTCAGGCACTCAGGAGCTGTTGATGGAAGAGTCCAGAAGTCAGAGCCAGGACAGTGGGACAG